TTGGTAAAATTGACTGTTTTGGTCCAGAAAATGACTCACTGAGCTATATGCTTTTAGGTAATTAGTGTTTACCCTAACAATGTGACTCCAAGAAAAAAAACTGTGCTGTTTTCATTGACAACACTCTTATCAGTCAAAGGCAACCAAATGAAAAGAATACCATATGATCTTGTCAGTTTTCACAGCAAACCTATCTGTACTGAAAAAAAGATCTCAAATGATGAACATCCTCAAATGGGACTTATTTTCTCTGCAGACTCTCCTCTCAACATTTTGATGTACTGTAATTACAATCAGCTGCTTTCAGAAGGTAAATTACCTGCTGTAAAAACTGCTGAATCAATCTATGCAGTGCAACAACCACCATAACATCGGTTGCTATAAATGCCAAGACCCTGCTTAGCTTGCCTCTGAACTTTCACTATGTATGATCTGGTTTAGTGATTTGCTGCCAGGATTTTTTTTAAAGGCATCTCTGGAAAACCCAAATGCTGCTGATGCCAAACACAAGACCTGCCCTTAGGTCATTTTTAATCAGATTCAAGTCTATCAGCTGGCTGGTTTTAAGATCTCTAATTTCCTGGTTTTGCTTGTCATGTTATATTTTTCCTCCTCTAAAGAACTGTAGAGCACTACTGAAAAAAAGCCAAAATGCATGTTAGACAAGAGAAGGAATAATATTTTTAGTATGCATATAATTCCCATAATTTACAATGGAAACAGATAAGAAATAAAATGTGGCTTCCATTCTCTCTCCAGTAATATCTCAAAAAGAGAACTATAGCATGATATCATCATATTAATAAATTTGTCACTTTCAAGAGCATACAATGAATTGCAGTAGAAGGTCAGATTGCATAGTTTCTGAGAAAAATAAAAGAGGAATGGATGTTTAGATGGTATTTTTGAGGCAAATGTGCACTTGTATCATTTAGGTCTACACACAAATCACCAGTGTGGCATGAGTAGAAATTTTGGTGATCTAGAAACTATTGCATGTGGCACACAACTGGTTGTCAATGAGTAAATGTCTATAAATGTAACAAGAGAAAAGTAATAGCATATGCTCTCTGAACAAATTTTAATAAGAAACCCTAGGAGAGAGTTGTCTTAAGTTAGAGCTGATCTGAAGGCAAACAACAAGAAGCAAAGTACAGTGCCCCAACATGATCACATTAGGTTCTTGTGGGTTTTTTCGGGCTATAGGGCCATGTTCTAGAGGCATTTCTCCTGACGTTTCGCCTACATCTATGGCAAGCATCCTCAGAGGTAGTGAGGTCTGTTGGAATTAGGACAATGGGTTACCCATTGTCCTAATTCCAACAGACCTCACTACCTCTGAGGATGCTTGCCATAGATGCAGGCGAAACGTCAGGAGAAATGCCTCTAGAACATGGCCCTATAGCCCGAAAAAAACCCACAAGAACCTAGTGATTCCAGACATGAAAGCCTTCGACAATACAATGATCACAGTGCTCTTTTGAAGACCAAAATAGTATATGGTGTGGTGATATTTTTAATTAGGTCAACACAGCATGCTAGCTTTTGAAACCCATCGGCTTCTTCATAAAGAAAAGATTTTTTTGGATTTTTTTAAAAGGACTGCGCAGAAGATCATAGGTCACCATATTTCTTGAGGTATTTTCTTAAGGTGGTACTACAAAGTGTCAGTATAGATAGAAAAGCCAGGCTACACTGCCATCGCCATAAACTGGGGGGAAAACAAGTAAAACAATGCATTTTAAATATATATTTTTCTTATTGGCTGTAATAAAGCACCCACTGAGAGTGGGGCCTATCCCTGTCCCACGCAAAGCCCTTGGTCATTGCTTCTCGGGGCATATGTACTTAATCTAGGATACTGGCACTGAGTGTGAAAATGGGCAGTGGACAGATGTGCCCCATGTGTTAACTAAGCTTCAACAGGAAGCTGATGTAGATACTGAAATTTTAGAAGAAAACTGGAAGAAAATACCGACCTTTCCTTCATATAAATCTATTTTAGCTTGGGCAAAACAAATGTTACACACTGATAGCATTGATCTCCTGGCCAACTTGTTGACATTTTTGTTGTTGTGTGTCACTTCAAGCCATTTCCAGTTTAAAGAGGCCTTATGGCCTAAATATCTTAAAGACATCAGATTTTGTCTGATCTTGAAAGTCTAAGCAGTCAGTGAAGTAAGGGCATATTTATATAGTACAAACAGCAAGACAGGATGAAGGCATCTTTTTCTAAGGCTGTAAATCATGTGACAGGGTTGCTGTAAGTTTTCTGGGCTGTATGGCCATGTTCTAGGAGCATTCTGGAATATGGCATACAGCCCGAAAAACTTACAGCAACCCAGTGATTCCGGCCATGAAAGCCTTTGACAATACAATCATGTGATAGCTATAGAGTTAACTTTCGGGAACTGAATTCATGACTATTTCTGCTAACAACATGTTTCATTTTAAGAGGCATGCATTTTATTTTTGACAAGTATGGTAACTTGTTTTCTTCTTGCTTCCTAATTATCTTCTCAATGTACCATGAACTCCATGTGCCCCAGATTTTACCCTAATCCTTGGGAAACAAAAAGTCTGCATGTGCTATATTCATAGCAAGATCTTTGTGGCCTTTATAATTCTGAAAATACTCTAATATGAGTCATGTAGTATTCAGGCATGGTATGATTTCACATTCTTTTGAACACAAAAGAACATTCATTGCCTCTAATAATGTGTTCAAGAAAACCTTTACAAAAAATGGTCGGAATTTTGGAGACAACCTAAATGGAATATGACAAACTCCAGGCATTTCTTTAGCACTCAGATCTTTTTGTTAATTTGTTTTTAAGAACTACCAGCTTGCTTGATCTTGATTTTCTTATGTCCCATTTCCTACTGCTCCTGTGTTAAGAACATGAGAAGACACCTTATGAATTAGATCAAAGGTTTTTCTGGTATCTATATAGCATCCTCTTTTCCATAGGGGGCAGCTATGTAGATTTTAGTCCTTTACCATTATTATTTCCTAGAAGTAATATGCAGAAACAAGCCATAACCCAGACTCTGCGGCAGCACATAGGCATAATCAACAGCATGAATTGATCTAATCCCCATATGTTTGCTACAAATCCCATACAGTGATAGGTGAGATCGCTATATCTTGTGAGAGTGGAAGCCAGTTTACTAGATAAAAATTAGAACGGTTGTGCACCTCTACAAACAATCCCCAGAAGATACACCCAGTGTAGAACTACAGTAATCGGAAAAAGAAAAAAATAAACTGTACACTCTAGCACCAATTTCTCTGTAGTTAATGCCCACAGAGCTTTGGACAAAGTTTGGGATGTAAAACTTTGAAAAGTAATTCATTCCTGTTTCTTGCCTGGAGAGCACCCAATTGTTGTCAGCCATTACAACCCATCTCCTACTAACAAGTGATTTATTACATTCCTTTTTGTGCTGCTCTACTACTTCACATTATTTTGTTTTCCATAGGGGAAAACCCCTTAGAACTGAGAAGAGAATGGAATACAACATTTATATCATTTGAATACACACACACACACACACACACACACACACACATGCATATATATTGAAAGCCCTGGTGGTGCAGCAGGTTAAAGCACTGAGCTGCTGAACTTGCTGACCAAAAAGCTGGTGGTTCAAATCCGGGGAGAAGGGTGAGCTCCCACTGTTAGGCCCAGCTTCTGCCAACTAGCTGTTCGAAAACATGCAAATGTGAGTAGATCAATAGGTATCACTTCTGCAGGAAGATAACGGTGCTCCAAGTCATGCTGGCCACATGACTTTGGAGGTGTCTATGGATGATGCCGGCTCTTCGACTTAGATATGGAGATGAGCACCACCCATCAGAGTTGGACATGACTAGATTTAATGTCAGGGCAAACCTTTACCTTCATATATATATATATATATATATATATATATATATATATATCTTCATCAATTGTTTATTTTAAAAGATAACAATAGCAGTGGAAATAGCCAGCTGAAACAGTATCAAATGGTAATTGGAATCTGTATAAGAATAAATGTCAGCATTTGAAATTCTCAAATTGCATACTGAAACTGAAAACATTTATACCTGGTAAAAGAGAATAAAGAACCTATACAGGCTTCTTGGGAGGGCATATTTTGCCACTTCAAGACATTCAAAGAAAAGGATTGCCTTGCAATTAACATGGGTATTCAGGTGGCCTTAGAAAATGGAAAATGCAACAAGTTCCTACTCAGAACTAAGTGTGAATAATTGTCACATGTAAGAATGTGCTCCCCAAAAAATGAAAACTAGATTATTTTGAGGTTGTTGTATTTGTTTTTTTTTAAAATATCATTGGGTTATATTAGGCTACTTTTGCCATTTAACCTCAACTTATATCAAAGGGCATTGCGTATGTACTGCTGCCTTCCCTGCCAAATTACTCTGTGGTTCCGTTCAAATACAATAGAAAAGTATGGGAACTTGCAATAAGGAGCTGCAGCAAATCTTGGATTCACATATCCCCATTCATCTTTGACAAGGGAATTGAACTTCTGGTTTCACATTTAAATTGTTGATGATAACTAAACTTGGAAAATTGTATTTACATAAATTTTAGATATGCAGAAGAAGACAAAATCATATCAAAGTGTGAGATTTTAACTTTAATAAATCATAGTTCATAAATTGTGAACGTAACTATAAACTGTGGTTAATTTAAAAACGTAGTTTTCCTTACAGACAAAACAGGAGAAGGAGAAAAGAACATGTCAGCCTGAGACAGCCTTCTCTTCCCAAGAACTCAGGTTTTTCTTTTATTTCCAAGTTGACCCTGAGAGTATCATCAGAATTACAAATGCTGGAAAGACCAAAGTAGCCAGGAAGCAGCTATGTTGAAACTGTGGAAAGCTTCAAATTCAACTACCACCTGTAGAGGTGACATAACATAAGAGACCAGTCCAACCTGCCTTTTGGGTGTTTTGTAACAATATTAATAAGAGTTAATTACCTGTTATCTTTAGAAGTGTGGTTGTATTATCACTCTCCATCAGCTTCACAAATCCAACTTGATTTCTAAAGTGATCAGTTCCTTGAAAAGATAAATCCAAAGGCTTTCCTTGCAGCAGTTCTTCAATTAAACCTTGACTCTTCAAGAAAGCACTAACTGCACTACCAGGGGGAAAAAAAGATGCATTTCAGAAATGATGCAGAAACCTAATTCCAGATAACTACTATTTGCCTCCTAAAATAAGGTCACCTTCCATTTTGGAAACACAACAATACATTAAAATATTGTTCAGTATATATGGTTACATAAAAAGAGTTCTCAGACTTCTTCCCCATCCCAGTGGTGGCCTTTTCTGCAGGAATGGGGAAAAACTACTTGAAGGTCACTCAATAACTATAGAAGCAAGCTGAAAATTATACACAAACAGATTGGATCCAGCATCTGCGTTCAGCTGATGGAACTGGTTTGCTTGCAAAAGACGCCTCTGCTCGTTTTTCAGATGATTCCCCTCATTTGCGGTCTTATCTTATTCAGCACTAGGGATAGAAAGCATATTTAAAAATACTTGAAAAATGGTTGAAAAATATTGTTGAGAAATGAGTGTGAACAAATCCTGATGAGAAGAATCCTGGACTGATGAAAACTTCAGTTTGAGATTCATTTTGCAAAAAAATAAAAATAAAAATGCACACCCTGTTGTGTGGGGCAGAAAACAGCATTTTCCGCTTGGAAAATGGGATCTCAATATAGAAATATTAATTCCTGTGCAAAAGAAAAGTTTTCTGTGCAAGGAAAAGCTATAATTGGGGATTTGTATTCACAATGGTTAATTTGCATAGGAAACAGCATTTTTCACACATGATTTAATATTTCCGCGTTGAAATTTTTATACACAAAAAATACTGTTTCCTGCATAGAGAATGCTGTTTTCTGTGCAAAGCAACCATGTTCAAACTTTAAGCACACCAATTTCCTGATCGTGATAACTTTGGAAAACCTTTTCAAAACAGAAAGAACATTGCTGAAATTACTCATTGCTATCTCAGAGAAGAAACTTAGTCAATAATCGCACCCTTATACAACAGTGTCCCTCAATCCACAGTGTATTATTTAATGATCCAGGACAGGGTGCTGCTGTAGAGAAGAAAGGCAGAGAAGTCCCCTTCTGCTAGGCTATTCTTTTAGGAGTCTAAATTAAGATCCAATCTAAATGGGAGCTTACAATTTTAAGTGGAGCACCAGCAAGAGTGAAAGAGTGAAAATTTTCCTTCACTGGCTAGTTTAAAAGAAATAAACAGGATTGTTTTTTCCTTAGCAGTAATCCAGATATATTTATATGCAGCATTTAATTTGTTTCATCAAATATACAGTACGAAAAAATCCTAAAATCTATTATGAAATTACATGAGATGAACCTTGTCCAAGTTAAACATTTTAAATCCTTACTATTTCCCCTTGAAATGAAAAGACTACCAATGCAATCTATCAGTGTGATGTAGCAGGATATAGCAGAAAAAGTGCCAGACGAATGTTTGAGAGACCTGAGTTCAAGCCCTTCCTAGTCATGAGACCATTATGTAAATGAGTTTATTGTGTGGATGAGAGGATGGTTTTATTTGCCGCTCTGATCTTGAAGTGAAGCTCCAATAAAAATTAACCAACTATGACCTCATCAACTATGTGATGAAATAGTAAGTGTGTGAATGGAATTTACTGTCCAGTAAACATGACTAGGATTACATCCTTTAACTTTGGCTGTTTCCTACCCATAACACAGTTATTTCTTTTTCTTCACAGCATAATTCGAGATGTTCATTATTAGTCACTAGGTGGCAGTAGCCAGCTGCTTAGCAGGCATCCTGAAGCACTTAATCCAGTCAATAAATATTTTAGTAGAAAAACATAGTGTCATGTTCAATTTTGACTTCTCTGCCTTGCATTATGTTTAGAAAGACATATATATACATACACATACATTTAGAATCCACCAACCATAAAGAAATCAATATTCACCATCCAACCCTCCAAAGTTAACAATGCAATTACATTGTCGAAGGCTTTCATGGCCGGAATCACTGGGTTTTTGTAGATTTTTTCGGACTATATGGCCATGGTCTAGAGGCATTCTCTCCTGACGTTTCACCTGCATCTACGGCAAGCATCCTCACTACCTCTGAGGATGCTTGCCATAGATGCAGGCGAAACGTCAGGAGAGAATGCCTCTAGAACATGGCCATATAGCCCGAAAAAACCTACAACAACCCAATGCAATTACAGTTCAGAACTATACTAAAGTTCCAAAGTTAAAAATCATGGAAAATATGAGAAAAAGTGAGAAGGGGTCTTTAGTATATGCAGTTATGACTTTAAAACCTTTATCAATTTAATCTGATGTCTTCATTCTGACAACCACTTCCTTTACATTTCAATGAACACTTTTAAGGAACTTTCAAGAAACAGTTTACATATTGTCCTATTTGCTGAGGAGCTCTGAAAGATTTGCCACAAAACAACTGGGTACTGCAATGGATGCCCAGGTATATTCTAGGATGTACACTTGGTTCACAGAGCCATGCCCAGTCTTTGGGAGCCTTAAATTCATCTCACATTAATGCTCATTCAGATGAATGAGGGCGGGGGGGACCCTTGCATCTAGTGACTTACAAGACATTTTGTGACACTATAGGAATCCCAGGGTTTTTCCACTGGGGAAAAATGATCAATGGCCACAGAAAGGTCGGTATGTGTAGAATGAAGGATATGCCACAATATTTAAATAACAAGAGCCAAAAATATGTTTTGTGTAACTGGCAAACTTCCTTTCTAGAGAGATATAAAGAATGTCTACACTTTTTATTTCTAAAAATTACCAGTCTTATTTCCAACTAAAAAAAAACTACCTTGCCGTGAACTAGTGTGGTGACCATACTGTAACCAAAGTGTAAATGTGCTTCCTGGCTGTCTGCCCAAGTGAATGGCTTCCTTCAGCAGATTTGACATCTTGGCATAGCAGCACTACCGCCCTCTTACATTTTCCTGATGTACTTGGCATATACTCCTGGAATGAATACATACTTCTGAAATCAACCAGCTGTTTATCAGTGGCTAGATCTGTTGCTGGTGAATATCACGTTTGATGGTAATCATCGCAGTCCATGAAGTAAGCAATCAGAGAACAACAAGATAATGTCCCTTCTGAGTGCAATACGACACATTTTTTTAAGTCAGTGCACATAACATATGGTAGTTTTGTGGGCAGAAACTATGCAAAACATATTATTCAACAGCCTAATAAATAGCATTGCAGTAGTAATATATGCAAACACTGATTGCAACAAGTTGCCTAGACCAATGCTGGTTGCAGGATTCGGGAGAACTGTTGACCCAGATGGTTCCTTTTTCTAGTTCTAGCCCAAATGATGTAATTCCTATTCCTTTAAGACCACTGATTTCTCCAGCAAAGGATCACCGCCTTGTCGGGGCGCTGGAGCTTGAGCACCTCAATGATGTCATGAGCGAAACCGTGAAGGGGCCACCCAAGACGGGACGGTTGTGGCAGAGAGGTCAGACCAAGCGTGATCCCTGGGGAAGGCAATGGCAAACCACTCCAGTATCCTTGCCAAGAAAACTAAATGGACCAGTACAACCAGAGATATGTCGGTATGCCATTGAAAGATGGGACTCCCAGGTCGGAAGATGGCCAAAATGCTACTGGGGAGGAGCAGAGGATAAGTTCAACTAGCCCCAGATGTGATGACGCAGCTAGCTCAAAGCCGAAAGGAAGGCTAGCGGCCGACGGTACTGGAGGTGAACGACGAATCCGATGCTCTAAAGATCAACACACCATAGGAACCTGGAATGTAAGATCTATGAGCCAGGGCAAATTGGATGTTGTTATTGGTGAGATGTCAAGACTAAAGATAGACATTCTGGGGGTCAGCGAACTGAAATGGACTGGAATGGGCCACTTCACATCAGATGACCACCAGATCTACTACTGCGGACAAGAGGAACATCGAAGAAATGGAGTAGCCTTCATAATTAATAAGAAATTCGCTAAAGCGGTGCTTGGATACAACCCAAAAAATGACAGAATGATCTCAATTCGAGTGCAAGGAAAGCCTTTCAACATTACAGTGATCCAAATATACGCCCCAACCACAGCTGCTGAAGAAGCAGAAGTAGATCAGTTCTATGAGGATCTTGAGGACCTACTGGATAATACACCAAAAAGAGACATTATTTTCATTACAGGAGACTGGAATGCCAAGGTGGGAAGTCAAATGACAACTGGGATCACAGGCAAGCATGGTCTGGGAGAACAAAATGAAGCGGGACGCAGGCTGATAGAATTTTGCCAGGAAAACTTGCTGTGTATAACAAACACTCTCTTCCAACAACCTAAAAGACGGCTTTACACATGGACCTCACCAGATGGTCAACACCGAAATCAGATTGACTACATCCTTTGCAGCCAAAGGTGGCGGACATCCATCCAGTCGGTGAAAACAAGACCTGGGGCTGACTGTAGCTCAGATCACGAACTTCTTATTGCCAAATTTAGAATAAAACTAAAGAGATCAGGGAAAATACACAGACCAGTTAGATATGATCTCACTAACATTCCTAGCGAATATACAGTGGAAGTGAAGAACAGATTTGAAGGACTAGATTTAGTAAACAGAGTCCCAGAAGAACTATGGACAGAAGTCCGCGACATTGTTAAGGAGGCGGCAACAAAGTACGTTCCAAAGAAAAAGAAAACCAAGAAGGCAAAATGGTTGTCTGCTGAGACACTGGAAGTAGCCCAAGAAAGGAGGAAAGCAAAAGGAAACAGTGAAAAGGGGAGATATGCCCAGTTAAATGCGCAATTCCAGAGGTTAGCCAGAAGAGATAAGGAACTATTTTTAAATAAGCAATGCATGGAAGTGGAGGAAGACAACAGAAGAGGAAGGACAAGAGACCTCTTCCAGAAAATTAGAAACATTGGAGGTAAATTTCAGGCAAAAATTGGCATGATAAGAAACAAAGATGGCAGGGACCTAACAGAAGCTGAAGAGATCAAGAGAAGGTGGCGAGACTATACAGAAGATCTGTATAGGAAGGATAATAATATTGAGGATAGTTTTGACGGTGTGGTGAATGAATTAGAACCAGACATCCTGAGGAGTGAAGTGGAATGGGCCTTAAGAAGCATTGCTAACAACAAGGCAGCAGGAGACGACGGGATCCCAGCTGAACTGTTTAAAATCTTAAAAGATGATGCTGTCAAGGTGATGCATGCCATATGCCAGCAAAATATGGAAAACACAAGAATGGCCATCAGACTGGAAAAAATCAACTTATATCCCCATACCAAAAAAGGGAAATGCGAAAGACTGCTCAAACTTCCGTACAGTGGCCCTTATTTCTCATGCCAGTAAGGTAATGCTCAAGATCCTGCAAGAAAGACTCCAGCAATACATGGAGCGAGAGTTGCCAGATGTTCAAGCTGGGTTTAGAAAAGGCAGAGGAACGAGAGACCAGATTGCCAATATCCGCTGGATAATGGAGAAAGGCAGGGAGTTTCAGAAAAACATCTACTTCTGCTTCATTGACTATTCTAAAGCCTTTGACTGTGTGGATCATAATAAATTGTGGCAAGTTCTTGGTGGGATAGGCATACCAAGCCACCTTGTCTCTCTCCTGAGGAATCTGTACAAGGACCAAGTAGCAACAGTCAGAAGAACTGACCACGGAACAACAGACTGGTTCAAGATTGGGAAAGGCGTACGGCAAGGCTGCATCCTCGCACCCAACCTTTTTAACTTGTATGCAGAACACATCATGCGATGTGCGGGGCTGGATGAATGCAAAGCTGGGGTGAAAATTGCTGGAAGAAACATTAACAACCTCAGATGCAGATGACACCACTCTGATGGCCGAAAGCGAGGAGGAGCTGAGGAGCCTTCTAATCAAGGTGAAAGAAGAAAGCGCAAAAGCCGGGTTGCAGCTAAACGTCAAAAAAACCAAGATTATGGCAACAAGAATGATTGACAACTGGAAAATAGAGGGAGCGAAACCGTGGAGGCCGTGACAGACTTTGTATTTCTAGGTGCAAAGATGACTGCAGATGCAGACTGTGGCCAGGAAATCAGAAGACGCTTACTTCTTGGGAGGAGAGCAATGTCCAGTCTCGATAAAATAGTAGAGTAGAGACATCAGACTGGCAACAAAGATCCATTGCCTAGTCCAAGCCATGGTCTTCCCCATAGTAGTCACCTACGGATGTGAGAGCTGGACCTTAGGAAGGCTGAGCGAAGGAAGATGGATGCTTTTGAGCTGTGGTGTTGGAGGAAAGTGCTGAGAGTGCCTTGGACTGCGAGAAGATCCAACCAGTCCATCCTCCAGGAAATAAAGCCCCGCTCATTGGAGGGAAGAACAGTAGAGGCCAAGATGAAGTACTTTGGCCACATCATGAGGAGAAAGGAAAGCTTAGAGAAGACAATGATGCTGGGGAAAATGGAAGAAAAAGGAAAGAGGGGCCGACCAAGGGCAAGATGGATGGACATCCTTGAAGTGACTGGACTGACCTTGAGGGAGCTGGGGGTGGTCACGGCCGACAGGGAGCTCTGGCGTAGGCTGGTCCATGAGGTCACGAAGAGTCGGAGACGACTGAACGAATGAACAACAACAAGACCACTGATTTAGCCAATAGAAGGGTAATCTCAAAGCTCAGCAGAACTGGCATGCATTCATGCTGTGACACACCAAAGTCCTGTCCATGTATGAGTCCTTCACAGTTCCCTCCCTCAGGCTAGTATGTCACATGAAGTAAAATATTAATAAAACCTACACTTTCTATATAAAGGGAAGTTAACATAAATATAAATATTTTAAGTCTTCTTTTTTTTCTTTTTTTCTTTTTTGTATTTCTAGATGAATCAATTGGCCTAGTTGGTTGTCAGAAAAATTGAGTAAAGATGAAAAAACGAAGACTTCAGTTTGTTTCTAGATTCTTAACTGCATATAGAACATTAGCTGTTTCTTGGCATTTTTACATAATCATCATAATCAAAAGTTTACTATTTTTAATTAATGAAGACCGAAACTTCATGTTCTATCAATTCCCATTTCTTAAGTAGTATTTGCTTTTTTTTGCTTTTTATCGTGATTCATGCAAGTATTTATGGGTTCTATTGGACTGATGTAGCACTCAGAAATCAAGAATGTGTAAACATAAAATACGTTACAGGTACAAGGAATGGGCAAATGTATTGCAATAGTGAGAAAGAGAGGCCCTAAAATGTTGCAAAACAGAACTTTAAAAACAGTGCATGGTTTTTTTTAGAGGTTATGAAAGAAATGAAGACTGTTAATTACTAGAGACTGCTTGTCACAGGCAAGAAAAAGCATCTCTTTTTAAATAACTAAAGCTGTGAAGCAGGCTAAGTCTGCTGTCATCCTCAGAACCAAATATCCAATAAGCCAAGGCTTTAAAGCTTACAAAAATTGCAAATTTTAACTTTCAGCATATTTACACTGAAAAGGTAAGCTAAGAAATCATTAAATCCCTCTTTGAGGTCACACGATGCAGTCATCTGGGCAATATTTAGAGGTAAAGCCATATGGGAAACCTGTATATGTTATCTTGAGTTCCCTGACAAAAGAAGGATGGGATATACGTGATCTCCATTTTGCAATATAGTAAGGAATATATTGTTACAAAACATTTATTGCCATTGTGAATAAATTATTTCATGGCCTTTGGGTTCCAATTTTTTTTTCTTAGCACTGTTGTATTTCAGCTGAAGATAACACTTCACGCATCTGATACAAAGGGACTCAACTCCACAATACATTTGTCAGAGAGGTGATGTAGTTACAGATGAAGGGTGTGACTAATGCTTCTGCCATAAATTTAACTTTAGCAAATCACTCTCAGTCTCCTCTTCTGCAATATGGGGATACTAATGCTGACTTTCCTTACTTGCACTTGGTTGAACATTTTTTAACACATTCCCTTTTCTGTACATTATTGCATTGCTAACTCCAAAAACACTATATTTTGAAATTTAATGTGTTCACATGACTTAGTGAAATTCACACTGAACAAACTTATCATCATTACCACTCAAGTCTTTTCAGGCTCATTACTATTAAGAGTCTTATCCTCCATTAAACTGTACAGTCCCCTTTTGTAAAGGCCAGCTACACCAGTGCACTTCACTGTAACTTACAACAGTAAGTTCCACAAACTAATTATGTGTTCTATGAAGGAATGTTTTCTTTTTTGTGTCATATATTTATTAATGTCACTGGATGATCCAATACCAAGTATTGTGGTGCAGAAAAATAGTTTCCCTCCACTTTCTACATGCCATACCATATCTAATAATCATGCTTTCTCCTTCATTATATATATATTTTCTGAACTGAGCCAGACAGGCCCTATATCCCAAGAGCTGATCCCAGGTTTTCTGTTTATCCCAGATTATCCGAGAGTGTGGAGATATAACCCAGTTTAAAGCAGAAAAATTGGGATCAGATCTTGGGATATAGAATGTGTCTGGAAGGGCCCTGAAAGGCACAAATACTAGCTTTCTCTTTTGGGGACAGTGGTTCAATCCCCAGTGCCTTTGGCTGCCCTTTTCAGTATATTTTCCAGATCCTACAATATCCTTTTTGAGATAGGATGAAAAGAGTCATGCACAGTGTAAAACAAATTACCAACAGAAATGACTAATAACATAAGCTAACAACAATGTTTTGAGAGTCAGAAAGATTTATGGAGTAATTGGTAAAACTATCTATTTCTAGTTCTCATTGTCTTCTTTTTTTTCTTCCTTATTCCCACAGAGAAAATTTAGAAACCAACACTGAAATATGTTAGGTGGATCCTCAGCATTTTAACATGCTAAATCCAAATTACTTCAATAACTACCAGACACTTCTCTGTTTTACTCAGGTTGGCTTTGAAACTATTTTGATGGCAATCTCTGGCTTCTCCTTTTCGCCCCTTCTAGGATAGCAAAGGTTAAAGACATGTTAGATTGGCAGTCAACATTTTTCATCTGTAAGCATCATTCAGTACAATGGGGTGTGCTTTTGAATAGATATACACTTGTCGTCAATCATTTTCCAAAATAAAAACAAAAATTAGGGCTTACATTTGGTATTACTTGTGATGATTACAGTTTTTTGAGAAAGCTCTTTACAGAGACTCTTCTGTTCCTTGCTTTTTCTGTATCCTTGCTCTCCATGAAACCCGTCTCACTGCACTCCTAGCTATGTATATTACTGTGTCTCCTCACCAGCTGTGTACTATGTGCACTTTTAACCATAGGAATTTTTTCATATAAGACAGATACAAGAACAATACTAACAGAAGTCAATGACACAACCAAATACCATAATTACTTCCTCTTGAGGTTTCTTAACAGAAGTATATATCATGTTTCTACTGTGCTTTTTTATTACCTCTTCAGTTACTACCATTCGTCCATGTTTCAACCCAATCTGAGTAGGTTTTAAATTTGCATGTGATTCCAGGGTGGCATACTTACTTGTCAATTGCTGCTTCAGTAGACAAATGCATCACCAGGAGAGTGACATGGAACGAACCATAATGAATCATTGCTTTGGAAAGCCTGCCATCTTTTTCTATTATGGTATCCTGGAGAGCATGAATACCATCTGAGATCTGGGAAGATAAACACATACCAAAATAAAATTATTGCAATCAAAAGAAAGAAAGAAAGACGTGGACCAGTGGAAATGTGTTACCATCCTTCTGTTGTTTTAAACCAGAAAACAGTAGGAAAGGATACATGATGGATAGATAAGTGGATGTCCTGCAGTCCCATCTCAAGCAGTGACTGATCCCTGCAGAAACATATTAGTGGTGATCTACAGGGGATAATTTTGCATGGATGTCACATCAGTGCAAGGTTACTTAGTACAGCCCTTTCTCTATTTATGTGGTGAATTTTCCTCTTTTAAATACCCGAAAGGGGGTTCCCTCTCACTTGAAAGCTGCTGCTTGCCTTGTTCTGTTTCAGACAAATGATACCTGCATTACGACATCCTTAGATGCCAAGTATTTGTGTCTCTCTATATACATTATGCCCACCATCAGAAAGCTGAAGGAAGGTCCAGCTATGCCTGGTAAAGGGTGCCAATGGGGACATGCAGCCTGAACAGGACTACTAGCATTTGTTGTCAAGACCAAGACTTTGGCCAGGAACTGCTTTAAGAAACTACAATGATGGTCATTGTCCCAGAAATCTAATAGTAAACTTAAAACAAGATATATTGGGGGTTAAAAAGTAAATCTTCAGAATACAAGCACACATAGAAAGACAAAGAATATCAACACTGCATAGAAAGCATTATTCTAACCCAGATGTATAGAGAACTGAGAATGGTTGTGCTGCTCTTAAGAACTAAAAGGATGCATTTTATAATCAGGCATGTTGAGCATCCTCTTAACATACAAGTGGCATACTATTTATTTTTAAATGCTCAACTGATCTAATACAGATGCTGGTTGGAATTCGATCCTATACAATACTGTGAGCCAGTTTAAAATAACTGTACTAAGAGTTATTATTTTCCGCACTGCGATGCATCATCGAATGCTTAGCACCTCCAACAAAATAAGCATCACATCATTGAGTGGTACACTGCTTAAACATCAAGAAAGTGCGAGTCTCTAGGAAGACTGAGCTGAAATACTGATGGCTGACATCTGCTTCACATGTTTGTTTATAGGAAGCTTTTACTGTGTTTATTACAGTGCAGCATATGCAGAATGCACCAGGTTTCTTCTCCTGTAGCAATTATAATGTGATGTATTCACTTACAGTATTAATCTTATAGTATTTCACCCAGTGAGTCTGTGGTTTATGTTTGGCTCAGCTGTCAGAGAACATGAACCTGGGCAATGTTTCAAAATATGTTTTTGATTTCTTTGCATTTATATTGGTTGTGATAACTCTGACTAACTCAGGCTGGCTAAAGAGAAACAAAGGAAACCAATTGCTTTGTTAAAAGAAATTATAAAATAAGACCTCCTTTCTAAACATTATTAAGTGATTTTATTCTATTTGTCCATCCAATAAATAGTAATAAAAATGATACACAATAAATAAAAGTATAGAATTATTGACAATTACATAGACATTACATTATTATTTTGCCTTTGTTTGAATGAGATATTCCCTCAATCAAGGTAAGTAAATCTGGAATTTATTTTTATCCACCGGACATTACAATCAAATTAAAAGGAGTGATCTAATAGACCTGAAAATAAATTTATTTTTGAAACATGTGCATGGACATTATAAAAACAAGTATCTATTTTTAGAAGACTTCCTTTCAACTGAAAGCAAAGTCTACAAAATCCTCTGACCCTGATACAGAGCTGTACAAGACAACATCCATCCATACAGTTAGGTTTTTGTTCTTCAGCTAGCAGTCTACCACCATCAATTGTTTTGGGTGATAAAAAGTCATGTTCAGAACCTAACCTGTTGCCAGAAAATGCCAGTGTTAGTCACAATCTGGCCATTAATTATTTTCCCACCAGAAGGGAGAATAAAATAATACCTTTGGGTTTGTAATTGGAACAGAAATGAAATAATTTGGTCGATCTTGATCTTTCTTTTTCTTCTTTATTAAATCATCTTCATCATTTTCCCTTCCAGTAGTTCTCTTCCTCTTCTTTTTATTTTTTGTTTTAATTGTGCTTGTGGCTGGGAGGAAAATATAGTTACAATCATGAGTACACATAAGAAGAAGAATTTACATGTAATGGTGAACATTACAGTAAGGGACAATTCTGACATAATGTGTTGGATCTAAACTTGCCCTTCAATGAATGGAAAGCTTCTTCTGTTCAAATGGAAGTTAATGGAGTAAGAGTAAGGGAATGAGATGGCGGTTTGTCCCTGCTATAAACTACATGTATAGTAATATATAAGGTATGGTACTCCCTTGATCCTTCATCATTAGCTATAGTGAAGACAGTTTGAAAACTGTGGGTGAAGATGGTGATTGGCAGATGGGTCTTGACTTTTGAACATAGACTCTGAGAGCAACAAGTGAAAACCCAAGAGAAGGGAGATGAGTAAAGTATGTGCATAACTGTCACCATGTGTTTTGACTGTGTTGTACTCTGCCTTGAGCTGTGAGGAGAAGCAGGTAACAGATAAAAATTACTATATGATGATGATGATGATGATGATGATGATGATGATGATGATGACATTCTCAGCTTCATTTGAGGACCTATCTAAGATTTTTCAGCGGACAAAATACCCAAATGCATAAGTGTGGAATGGATGCTGTGATTCAGCATTCATCAAAAAAAGTTACTTGGTGCCTTTGGCCTCCCTTCAGTGCCAATTCAGTGGATACCATTGAAGCCTCTAGTGATACTAAAGCCACAGTAGACCTAGCATCCACTCACTGATATAATCACTATTATGGTTTTTGGTACAATGAGAGCCTAGTCTATCCGATATCCAGCACTTCACTGAATTATGTCTCTTGGATCAAACTTTTAAAAGAGGCTAAGTGGGCATATTTCCAAAGTTCTCCAAGTTGTGTATTCCTGGCTGGTAGGAGATTGGGCTAGATGGTCCTTGTGGCCCCTTCCAATTCTAAAACTATATGATTAAATGCACACTGCACATCAACATCTAAAGGACCACATATTCCCCATCCATGCTCTAACCAGTTAGTGCCCTAGAGAGCAACAGGAAATTCATGTTTTTAATAATTTGAGCTCGGCGTTCTCACATAAGAGACAGACATTTTAAAAAGTTAGTCCAAGAGTATCAGAAGCATTGAAGCAGCTTCCATACTGAAAATGGTGGAAATTCTGTCATTCCATTTTTATGTACGTGATGTCACTTCCAAGCCACAGCATTCCAATGTTTTGTTTGTCTTTATGTCTTCTTTTAGATCTGATTTGTGGTGATTTTTTTAAAAATGTACAATGTAATTTAAACATTACTAATCCCAAAGTGGACTGCCAGTATGCTTATTGAGGCCTTTTCCAGCTATTAGAAGCTTTAATTAGTCATGTTTCCTCAAACCATCCAGCTATTATCAGCCCTTTAATTAGTTGTCCTGAATCTGCTACTCAAGCAAATCCATATATGCTTGTATGTTTTTAATTTTATGTATCATCTACGACAGGGGTCCTCAAACTAAGGCCCGGGGGCTGGATGCGGCCCTCCAAACTCATTTATCTGGCCCTTGCTCAGGGTCAACCTGTCTGAAATTATTTGAAAGCAAACAACAACAAACTAAGGCCCACATTTCCCACCGAAATACCAATAAGTTTATATTTGTCAAAATTATTATTCATTTTAATTATTGTATTGTTCTTAAGGGGTTTTTTTGCATTACAAATAAGATACATGCAGTGTACATAGGAATTCATTCATGTTTTTTTCAAATTATAATCCGGCCCTCCAACAGTTTGAGGGACTATGATCTGGCCCTCTGTTTAAAAAGTTTGTGGACCCCTGATCTACAATGTTGTGCATTTCCACAAAGTTGAAGGAAAAGTAAATCAAGAGCCTCTATTTCATAGACTATTTTCAGCAATGAAGTTGGAATCCAAATATAGATGGATCTAAACACATTTTTGTGATTGGAAGAGGCAAACATTAGATATTTGAGGAGAGGTACAGGTCAACATTCCCAGGATGCAACACTGGCATTTGTAACTGCAAAGGTCAGGATATAGTATCTGAAAAAATCTACCCCCAATTAAATGTATTTATTTTCTGAAACTGCCACTGAAGCGAGTACATTATAGCTGTGGATGAGAATCTGTACTTACTGCTAAATTCCTCCTCAATATCTACTTCTGCAAATGGCATTTCCATGATCAAACAGTCAAAAGAATCATCAAGACAGTCTGATTTCTTTCTCTGTTTTCTTCTTTGCTTTTTCTTCCGTTGCACAATTTGCTTTCCATCTGGAATACATTTGAAACAAAGAACTGAGTTTCAGATTTCAAGGTCGATGAAATCACCACCAATAAAACTCTCTTCCAGACTCACAGCTCACTACAAGGCACTTTTTCAGGCACAAAATCAGAGCTGCTCACAAAGCAATTGCTTGTTCCTCCATATTACAATTTAAGCTTCATTCTTAACATTCAATATATTTCATTAAACATCGTGAAATGTCTTGTTTTTGATTCCCCATTTGAAAACAAGAATTATGTTAACCCATCTGCTTTCTAAGAATTTCTTTTGCAGGGTTTAGAATAATTACAATACTGCTGACTTTCAAACCTCTTCACCAAGGTAGGCCCATCTCACTCATACAAATAGACAACATATTTTATTGGCCCAAGGAGGGGGGCTGAGGTTTCCTCAGAAATGTATGGTACCAAGGTATTTTATTGCCCATTTTATTCCTATAATTGAAATGAAAAAACACTATGGCCCCTTTAGCCATAGGATAGACATTCCTGAACTTTCCATGAAAACATGAAACTATAGAAAACAGACCCTGTTCAAATGGACAATTTCTGCAGAAGCTACTTCAGAGTCTTGCTGGAGCATCTAGAAAATTTCTAGAGAGGTATTCTTTCTAATAATTTGCTAGATCAGGGGTTCCCAAAGTATGCTCCGTGGAGCCCTTGGGGCTCTGTGAGTGAATGTGAGGGGCTCCGCATCAGGCACTGTTGTGCCGCTTCTCTCCTCCTCCTCTTCCTCCTCCTCCTGCTCTCTGGGTCAGTGTAAGTGTGCATGGCAGAAACGCTGTGCTGCTTCCCTCCTCCTCCTCTCCTCCTTCTCTTTCTCCATCTCCATGACACAGGATGCAAGACATGCAGTATATCCAATGGGAGGCTGCCCTAGGGCTGTCCTTCAGAACGGATTGGTTGGCAGGAACAGATCGCTGCGCAAAAACAGAAAAGCCGAGAACTCCGAGCTCAGAAACTGCCAGAAGAGATCACAGAAGCAAAGCTGTGGCGAGGAGCCGGCGAGCCAAGCAACTCAGTTCGGCAGTGAAGGCAGAAGACAGAGAAAAGGGGAGAGAGGACAGCTGGAAGAAAACTGAGCTGGACAATAATAATGAGAGGAACAATAATAATGAGAGTGTTCTGGATATTAAAAGAAGACATGGTGAGGTGGGAAATTTAAGGGAATCTCTGGTAAACTCTGACAAACTCTGTCGCAAGAAGCAGGCACATTGTTCACATTAAGTTTGTGTGTACATCTAACATTGTAAAAAATTTCAAATATCTTAACTAGTTGTTATATCATTTTTTAGGTTTAAATAATGAATATTATTATCTCAAGTTCTTTTTTACTATTGTTCCCTTTATGACTATATATACCTTATTCATACTTCTGTATACATATCATTTGTAATATGCTTCATACAACTAGACAGATGTAACTAAAACACTTATTGAGGCTTCACGAGAAACTTTTGCTCAGTGGCTGAAAAACTTTGGGAATCCCTGTGCTAGATCATCCGGTGAAACTCTTGGGTAACTTCTGATTGAAGCATAACATAGAAACACGTAGAGCACCTAGAGAGGACATATATTTCTCAGATGAAGCTAGGCTGTACCATATCTCTTTCTCTGTCTTGTTCCTACTGAGTAATTTCTTAGTTGTAATTGTAGGGAAATACTACAGTGCTGAAACAATTTAGAGGCACAAGCTGTACCACTACAGTGCATTTCAATATGTTCATTAAAATATTCCCGGCTTTGTTTTACTTGGTATGTCTATGCATACTTACAAGAACTCATGTTTTTATTATTAGTATTTTAGTGGTGATGTCACTACGGGGTTTTTTTTCCAGCCAAAAAGAACATGGGAGTTTTCTCCGCTCCATCCTATCATTTAGTCAAATATAATTGGTGCTGACCTTGAAGATTGCTCGGAAACTTCAAATGGCTTAGCAATTAATTTATTTTTAAGTTATAATCAGTTTATACTCACATTTTAAAAATAACTCTCCTTCCAGTTTGCTTTTTGGGATACAATAAAAACTGATGATCCTGAATAATGTCCTATTCTAACTTGGAACTTGCTCAGAACTTCATGAGCTCCTTTACCAGGTACGATTACATTCAAAGATAAGGTAGATGGTACCATAAAATACACGTTTGCAGCAGAGCCATCTTATGATGAGGAATGTAAGAAACGGGGTTAAATTATTTGTCCATTTGGTTCAGTATTGTCTATGCTTGGCAGCCTCTGGTTTCTGTCAGAAGATAGCAAGAACTGAAACTGAGACCTTTTGTAGAAAAAAGCATGCCCTCTGCCATTTACACATCATCCATTTCCAAGACACTAAGCTGACATTGAGTCAATGACCTTTTCATTGTCAGGTGAATACAATACGATTCTTTGGCTATTTCATGGATGACAAATTTTAGTCCTGCTTTCACTTCTTAACCTTTGTTTATATGGTTCTCTGACTTTAGCTTTCAAAGTTGACTCTTACTGTGTTTTCCCTCTACCTTGGAAACCTGCACTGGAAGGCAGGATATAAATCTTTTAAGTAATTCACAAAATTAAAACTAACAAATATATTTATCAAAAATTCTCATTTTGGTTTTTAGTTCTGTAAACTGGTAGCTGGTAAAGTTGAGTATCCTTTATGGAGAGAAAACGTAGGATATAAAAACATAATAATAATAATAATAATAATAATAATAATAATAATAATAATAATAAGTGGAACACCCTCCCTGTTGACATCAGACAGGCGCCCTCTCTTATGGCTTTCCGGAAGAGCCTAAAGACCTGGCTCTTCGAGAGGGCATTTAACTAGTGCCAGACTAATTGATAATGACAATCGGAACGGAATATGGATCATGAGACTGGTAGGCCCCTATGTTGTGACGGTGCGGATTAGTTAGTATAATTTAGATTAAGGTGTAATTATGGCTTGTTGATGTACTGTGTGTTTTGTAAACTGTTTTTATATGTTGTACACCGCCGCGAGTCGCCCTAGGGCTGAGAGCGGCGGTCAACAAATGCATCAAATAAATAAATAAATAAATAAATAAATAAATAATAATAATAATAATAGGCAATACTAATAGTTATAGAAAGTGAACTTGTCAAACTGCTCTGGGGTTTCTGAATTCAGATTGACACGAGTTTTGGAGCACAATACTCCTGACCTCACGATTTTTGGGGGGGGGGGAACCAAGTATAGATCATGGATGTTGTAATCCCAGGTGACAGCAGAATTGACGAGAAGTAACTGGAAAAGCGTATACGATATGATGATTTAAAGGTAGAACTGCAAAGACTCTGGCACAAGTAAAGATGGTCTCAGTGGTGATCAGCACACTGGGTGCAGTACCTAAAGACCTTGGCCTGCATTTGAAAACAATTGGCACTGACAAAATTACCACCTGTCAGCTGCAAAAGGCCACCTTACTCGGATCTGCACGCATTATTCGCCGATACATCACACACTCCTAGACACTTGGAAGTGTCCAATATGTGATCAAATACAAAAGCAGCTAGTGATCTTGTGTGCTGTGTACTTATCTTGTTATGTATCCAATAATAGTAATAATAATAATAATAATAATAATAATAATAATAATAATCTCTGAAGGTTGTGGAAAAATTATTTGTTTCAAACTAGTTTTCAACTGTGATAATAAAGTAAACTCCAGCAAAGGATCACGCGCAATTCCAGAGGTTAGCCAGAAGAGATAAGAAACTATTTTTAAATAAGCAATGCATGGAAGTGGAAGAAGACAACAGAATAGGAAGGACAAGAGACCTCTTCCAGAAAATTAGAAACATTGGAGGTAAATTTCAGGCAAAAATTGGTATGATAAGAAACAAAGATGGCAGGGACCTAACAGAAGCTAAAGAGATCAAGAGAAGGTGGCGAGACTATACAGAAGATCTGTATAGGAAGGATAATAATATCGAGGATAGTTTTGATGGTGTGGTGAATGAATTAGAACCAGACATCCTGAGGAGTGAGGTTGAATGGGCCTTAAGAAGCATTGCTAACAACAAGGCAGCAGGAGACGACGGGATCCCAGCTGAACTGTTTAAAATCTTAAAAGATGATGCTGTCAAGGTGATGCATGCCATATGCCAGCAAATATGGAAAACACAAGAATGGCCATCAGACTGGAAAAAATCAACTTATATCCCCATACCAAAAAAGGGAAATGCGAAAGACTGCTCAAACTTCCGTACAGTGGCCCTTATTTCTCATGCCAGTAAGGTAATGCTCAAGATCCTGCAAGGAAGACTCCAGCAATACATGGAGCGAGAGTTGCCAGATGTTCAAGCTGGGTTTAGAAAAGGCAGAGGAACGAGAGACCAGATTGCCAATATCCGCTGGATAATGGAGAAAGGCAGGGAGTTTCAGAAAAACATCTATTTCTGCTTCATTGACTATTCTAAAGCCTTTGACTGTGTGGATCATAATAAATCGTGGCAAGTTCTTGGTGGGATGGGCATACCAAGCCACCTTGTCTCTCTCCTGAGGAATCTGTACAAGGACCAAGTAGCAACAGTAAGAACTGACCACGGAACAACAGACTGGTTCAAGATTGGGAAAGGCGTACGGCAAGGCTGCATACTCTCACCCAACCTTTTTAAATTGTATGCAGAACACATCATGCGATGTGCGGGGCTGGATGAATGCAAAGCTGGGGTGAAAATTGCTGGAAGAAACATAAACAACCTCAGATATGCAGATGACACCACTCTGATGGCCGAAAGCGAGGAGGAGCTGAGGAGCCTTCTAATCAAGGTGAAAGAAGAAAGCGCAAAAGCTGGGTTGCAGCTAAACATAAAAAAAACCAAGATTATGGCAACAAGAATGATTGACAACTGGAAAATAGAGGGAGAAAATGTGGAGGCCGTGACAGACTTTGTATTTCTAGGCGCAAAGATTACTGCAGATGCAGACTGTGGCCAGGAAATCAGAAGACGCTTACTTCTTGGGAGGAGAGCAATG